CAGGCCCCAGAACCCCCTCCCCCTCGGACTCTGCGCTGTGCTCCGACAGGCTGTGCAGGGGGCTGCCCGGGGCAAGCGGCTGCTCCGCGCTGTCAGAGCGGGACAGGTACCCCGAGTCAGTGCTCTCACACTTCCTCAGCCGGCTCTCCGAGGCCTTCGTGTCCCAGGGCTTCTCTGAGGATGTCACCTGCTGCTGCAGGGAGCACACCCTGCTGGCCGTCGGGGACTTCTGCTCCGGCAGCTTACGTCTGGGCTGCGAGCCGGCCAGGGGGAGCCCCGCGGAGGCAGTGTAAGTAGAGTACACAGGGACCTCTTTGTCAGCTAATGTGGACGCTGGACAGGAAACAGCTTCCAACTTCAGATCTAAGTTCTTGGCAGTTGGGGACAGATGTGTAGGAAGGCCTGGAGAAAGGGATCTCTCTGATGGAGCCCCATCACCCCCACCCGGGCTCCAGCTGTTCCCCTTGCCAGCCGCTCTGGAGGTCTCTCCAGCCTTGTCCCCCTCCTCCAGGAGGCTGCCCCCTGTGCCTTCAGACTCTGAGGACAGCCGAGAGTTGTTGAGGTGTGTCTGGGTGCGGCGGTGCTTGTAGAGGTTGCTCTGGGTCTTAAAGGCGATGCCGCAGGTGGCGCATGGGAAGGGCCTCTCTCCCGTGTGGGACCGAATGTGCTTCTCCAAAACACTGGGTTTCAGGCAGTCCCGGCCACAGTGTGGGCACAGGTACTTGCCTGAGTTACGGGCCTTCCCCGGGCCACCCGTCACAGGTCCCAGGCCTGGGGACAGGACTGGCAGAGTGCCCACGATGTTCACGGTGAGCGTTGGGGTGGCTGGTTTCCCGAGCTGGGCACAGCCAGGTCCTTCAGGCTGCAGCAGGGGGCTGAGAATGAAGGGCACACTGCCCCCGTCCAGGCTGCCCGTCACCAGGGGGGCACGTGGCTGGAGGCCCCCGGGAGGCACAGTGTGGTACAGTGGGATGGGCAGCGCTTTCAAGAACATGGTAGGGGCCAGGCCCTGCTCCGGCGGCAAAATGACAGGGCCCAGGGTCAGGTGTGGTGATGCCTGCCGACCTGGGGTCCCTGGGAGTCCAGGGGCAGGAGCTGGCTGATTCCTGGCATGTGAGGCAGGGCAGGTCTGTTCTGGCACCTCCATCCTACATCATCTGGGCGTCCCAGGATGCTCGGTAACCTGCATGCAAAGCCAGACTTTACCCTGGGCACCTGTCTTTCCATCACACAGCACTCTCTCCTCCTGCCTCCCACTACGCATTCATCACCCCACTGAAGCCTGACAACAGTCCCCCAAGAAAAGCACTCTATCCTCATGTTAGGAAAGAGGAAACTGAGGCTCATAGAGTAGGAGTGACTTATGCAGCTGATACATGGCAAAGGTAGTGGCAAGCTCAGACCAGCTCATACTGGCTTGTGAGAATTGATGGTTAAATTTTCAGGAATTTTGCAAGCCAGGTGTTAAACATGGCCATAATTAAAAGTTAAATTATATAATCTTACAATTAAATAACATATTAAAAAAATACCACAACAATATCACATGCAGAAGAATGAAGTTAAACCCCTACCTCACACCATATACAAAAATGAACTCAAAATTTATCAAAGACCTAAATGTAAGAGCTAAAACCTCAAAACTCTTAGAAGCAAGCACAGGAATAAATATCCATGACTTTGGGTTTTGCAATGAATTCTTAGATATGACCAGGAAAGAATAAGCAATTAAAAAAAAAAAGATAAATTAGACTTAATCAAAATTAAAAACTTCTATGCATCAAAAGACACATCAAGAAAATGAAAAAAAAAAATCCACAGAATGAGTGAAAAATATTTGTGAATCATATATCTGATATATCCAAATATATAAAGAACTCTTATGACTCAATAACAAAAAGACAGACAACTCAATTTAAAACTAAGCAAAGGACTTAAAGAGACATTTCTCCAAGGAAAATATGCAAATGGCCAAAAGCACAGGTAAGATGTTCAATGTCACGAGTCATTAGAAAAATGTGAATCAAAAACACAGTGAGCTGTGACGCTGCACCAACTAGCATGGCTGAGGTAACCATGATAATACACTGAAAATAAACAAGCGCTGGGGAGGATGTGGAGAAAGGGGAACCCTCACATGCTGCTAGCAGGAATGCAAATGGTGCACACTCATGAAAACTATTTGGCAGCTCCTGAAGAAGTTAAACATAGAACTACTACATGACTAAGCAATCCCACTTTTAGGGATATACCCAAAATAATTGAAAATAGGTAGTCAAATAATAACTTGTATATGAATGCTTACAGCAGCATAACTCAAAATAGCCAAAAGTTGAAAACAACCCAAATGTCCATCAACAGATGAATAAATAAACAAAATCCAGTACATCCAAAGAGTGGGATATTATTCTGCCATAAAAAAGGGAATAAACCTTAAAAACACACTACAACATGGATGAACCTTGCTAACATTATGCTGAGTGAAAGAAGCCAGACGCAAAAGGCCACATTTGTGTAATTCCACTTATATGAAAAACCCAAAACAGGCAAATATATAGACACAAAAAATAGGTGCTGGTGGTTGATAGGGGTGGAAAGAGAGAATACGGCATTGCTGCTCCATTGAGCACAGGGCTTCCTGTGGGGTGATTAAATGTTCAGGAGCTAGACAGAAGTGGTGGTGGCACACTGTGAATGCACTAAATGCCACTCAATTGTACACTTTAAATCATTCAAATGGCGAATTTAATGTTATATGAATTTTACCCCAGTAAAAAGGCATGAAACTCAAAGCTCATCACTTACTAATTATTTTATTACATCTTACCATTCTCAACACTCTTGAGATTATTTACTTTGACTGCATCAGTATAGTGGAACTGCCATCTAATGGTATAGCACTTCTTCCCAACTTTTGGTTCTGTAATGTTCTATTCATAGCTTGGAACTGGCCATAGGGGGAGTATTTACACCACTGCAATTGGCAGGTGTCAAATGGGTTTCCCTTTTCTTTTATCCTGAGACCATCTCTCCTATTCTCTGTTCCTCAAAAGCCCATCTAACATTATGGATCTCACAGTACCATGTCACTTGCCTCAAAAAAAAAAAAAATTGAGATCTCATAAGGAAAGACTTAATAACACATCTTCAAAGATTAGTAGGTNGTCACTTGCCTCAAAAAAAAAAAATCGAGATCTCATAAGGAAAGACTTAATAACACATCTTCAAAGATTAGTAGGTGGCACTGACATAGTGGAAGACCGTGTCTGACCTCAAGGAATTTCATGATGTTCCCTGAGACCTGTCGGACCTGAGTTCCTGACCCTGCTTATCCAGCTTTCTGGGGAGTCCTCTGGACCCAGTTCCCTCAGCTCTGAGAGCAGGTCACCCAGGCAGAGCTCCTGGAGGACTGGGTGAATGATGTATGTCACAACCCAGAATGCAGTGCCAGGCATGGAGTAAGAGCTTGACTCACTTGAGTTTTCAACCATCCTCCATAATATTTTGAACTATTATCAAGCAATTCCTCCCCTGTCTTATCATGCCTCCTATCATCCTCTTTTTCTTCCCCCAGAAATCAGGGCAGCAGGCTCCCCTGCTGCCTCTGGGAAGGGTTGCTGTCTCAGGATGGGTTCCCAAGAAAAGGATTTCATTACAAGGATCTTATTTTGGGAGGTGACCCCAGGAGTCAGTCACAGGGAAGTGGGAAAGCAGAGTGACAGAGCTATGAAGCAAGCCCCACCATGGGCAGCTGGAGCTTCATCGGGCTGGGCAACACCCAGAGATCATACAGAACGCATCCCAGTTACCCCACCCAGGGGAGAGAGCCAGCATGCTTTGGGGGCCACCGCTGGCAGGTCCAGCCAGTCAAGTGGATGCATGTGCCAGCCCTGGTGACCCCAGAAAGCCACCAAGCACAGCCATGTTGCCTGCAGCTGGCTCCAAAAGGTAAGTGTGGAAGTAGGGAGATGGCTAAGGCTTCTATTGGAGCTCCTGTGGCAGAAACAGGATAGCGACTTCTGGATACCGCAGCCTAAACCCTAAGGAGGAAATGCAAGGATGAGCAGTCTTCCCAGTCCCCAGGGAGGAGGCGGGAGGGAGGACCCTCTAACTTTGGCTTCAGTGGGGAGTTGGGTATAGGGCTGACCTGGACCCCGATCCCAGGGGCAACCAGGGGAGGCCCAGGTCACAGCATGTGTCCAGGCAGGAGGGACAGACTGGTTTCAGCCCCCAGAGTTAGGCAGCCCCAGAATGAGTTCCCTAGCACCAGAGAGGGGCCCAGGGAGACCAGGAGAAGGGGGTTCAGTGTGGGGCTTGCTCAGGGAGCTGAGAACTGCACCCTACATGTCCTGAAATAAGCCCAACCTTGAGGGGAAAAAGAAAAGAAGTCCAGAACTGACTGCCTCAGGGGGGAGGCACAGGGCTTGAAAATGGAAGTGCCAGGAAGAGAGGCACGTTGCTGACACACCCGCCACGGTTATTATTTTGTTCTCTCTGCAGCCTGCTCTGTGATCACAGCAAAAGCGATGCCTTTGAGTCGCAGCTGATCCCTGCTGGCAAGACGAGCCAACTAACGCCTTCCTCTGGGGAGACGGCACTTTCCTCAGGGAAACCTCAAAGGGCCGCTGCTTATTCTTCTCGCTCTGAATCAAGGAGGTGGCAGATCGGAGTGTCCGCATTGCACAGGTGGGGAAACTGAGGGACAGGGTTGGAAAGGCGTGTCGGGGAAGATTCTTGGGAGACCACCTGGTCAGCTAGACTCATTGTCAAGTGCTCACTCCTTGCCATCTTGAGGGCCCACAATGTGGGGGGCTTGATGGACCCCTGGCTTCCTCCATCATACCTCCCCTGACCCCCAAGCCAGTAACATTCTGAGTGTGAGTGTGCAGCTCCTTACGGAGAGGCAGAAGAACCTGGAGGGACAGAAGCAAGTATTTCCAAAGCCCTCATTTTCAAAAATAAATTAAGGGGCCTGGGCAAAGAAAGGAATAGGTTTTAAAATTCACATTTGAGGTCCTGAAGGAGGTGGCCGTGGAGAAATGTTTTAAATGTATTAAACAAAATTTCTCAGAAACAACTTGGGTGCTGAAATGCTTTTGTGACAAGTTCCCCAAGCTTTAGTCCATCCTGTACCCGGCACCTGTTGTGCCCGTGTGGGGTCCCTCAGGCCATTTCTTCCTGGCATCCCTGGGGACCTGAGGGCTGTTTTGCTGAAATGCTGTCACTTCAGAAGGGACTTCTATGCACTACACTGTGGATGTCCTCAGCACTACTCAACCACCTAAACATAGTTAAAATGATAGTTTATGTCATGTATATTTTACAACTTTTAAAAAGTAAAACAAAGGGAGGGAAGGAAACATATCATTACCCAGTGAACTGAAAACTTACATTTATAGAAACTCCTGCACACAGATATTTATAGCAGCTGTATTCATAAGTGCTGAAACTTGGAAGCAACCAAGATATCCTTCAGTCAGTGATGGATAAATAAACTGTGGTCCATCCAGACAATGGAATATTATGCAGTACTAAAAAGAAATGAGCTGCTCTGCCCAGTTTGACTCAGTGGTTAGAGTGTCAGCCTGTGGACCAAAGGGTCTTGTGTTCGATTCCCAGTCAAGGGCACCTACCTGAGTTGCAGGTTCGATCCCTGGCCCCAGTTGAGGTATGTGTGCGAGGCAACCAATCCATATGTCTCTCTCAGATTGATGTTTCTTTCTCTCTCCCTCCCCTCCACTCTCTCTAAAAATCAATGAAAAAAATATCCTCAGGTGAAGATAAAAAAAATTTATAAAGAGCTATCAAGCCATGAAAAGACATGGAGGAAACTTAAATGCATATTGCTAAGTGACAGAAGCCAATCTGACAAAGCTACACGCTGCATGATTCCAACTATATGACATTCTGGAAAAGACAAAACTATGGAGACAGTAAAAATATCAGTGGTTGCCAGGAGTCAC